AATGCCTTATATCTTATTTTAAAATGTTGCAACTCTTTGCACATTCTAAAGTTGGTGCCTTCAAGAGGTTTCTAGAACAACTCTGTCCAATAGAAATATAATACAAGCCATATATTTAAAGTTTTCTGTAGGCACATTAAAAAAAACCTGAAAATAACAGGTGAAATTAATATTTATAATATATTTTATTTAACCCTATATAGCCAAAATACTGCCATTTTAACATTAATCAATATAAAAGCTACTAATGAGCGATTTTACATTATTTTTGGTACTAAGTCTTCAAAATCTGGTTCATTATATCTATACACCTCAGTTTTGACTAGATGCATTTCAATAGTCAGTAGCCTCTTTTGGTAATGGCTACTATATTGGGCAGATCAGTTCTAGAACATACTAATTTGAAACCTTTGAACTCAGTTTGGTATTTTTATTTTCTAGAGATACATACTGAAATATTTATAGATAAACTATGTCTGATATTTGCTTCAAAATAATATGTGTACATGGGAAATGGATTGGCCATAAACTGATAATTTTGAAGCTAGGGGTGGCTCTGTGGCAGTTTGTTACACTATTGTGTCTATTCTTATATTTGTTCAAAACTTCTCATAATAAAAAGTAAAAAATAAAAGACCACAATGCTCCATTTTAATTTTTTTATTATTTGCCCTAGGGCATTTCAATTTTTTTCCTATTTTACATTATTACTGTTATAATATTTATGTTTCAGATAGTTTTCTTATGATAGATTATATGAATGAAATTACTAGGTCAAAGAGTATGAACAACTTAAAGGATTTGGGCTGGTACTTAGTGCTAAATTGCTTGATGAAGAACTTAAGAATTTTATTGGATTTATAATTGTATTCTAGGAGTGATATTTCTAAAAAAATTTAATAAAAATTTAAATTTTTATTAAGTATATTATAGGATTACATTTTAAAGTGTTTTTATTCATATTCATTTTTAAGAGTACTAGAAACAATTCACATGGAACTAGTTAGTACTTTACAGTTATGTAGAGAGTTGTCATGTCCAGGAGATGCTGTAACCTCACAACAGGTTTATAAGCTATGAGGTATAGAAATTTAAAACAAAATAGACTAAGCTTTACATTTTAAATTACATGTAATTCCTGTTACCACTAGATGGCCCTCTCAGCATGTCCTTTTGAGCAAATGTATATTTCGTTTGTAGACTTTTTGGGGGGGAGGCTAATCCTCACTCGAGGACATTTTTCCATTGACTTTTAGAGAGAGTGGAAGGGAGGGAGGGAAGGAGAGAGAGAGAGAGAGAGAGAGAGAGAGAAACAACAATGTGAGAGAGACACATCAATTGGTTGCCTCCCACACGACCCCAACCAGGGCTCAGGATCCAGGGAACCTGCAACCCAGGTACATACCCTTGACCTGAATCAAACCCTCAACCCTTCAGTCTGCAGGCCAGTGTTCCAACCACTGAGCAAAACTGGCCAGGGCTGTAGAAATTTTTTTTAAGCTGATTTTTTAGAAGGAGAGAAAGGAAGAATCATCAATTTGTTGTTCCACTTATTTATGCATTCATTGGTTTATTCTTGTATGTGCCCTGCCCAGGGATCGAACCCACAACCTCAGCGTATTGGGATGCTGGTCTAATGAACTGAACTGCCAGGCCAGGGCTCATTGGTAGACATTTTGAAGTTCCCCTACAGATCTTATTAAAACATTTTTATGTATTTATTTTTGTTAATCCTCACCTGAGGTTATTTTCCCATTGATTTTCAGAGAGAGTAAGAGGGAGGAAGGGTGGGGGGGGGGGGAGAGAGAGAGAGAGAGAGAGAGACAGAAACACTGATGTGAGAGACACATTGGTTGGTTGCCTCCCACATAGCCCTGGGGCCCGATATTGAGCCTGCAACCCAGGTATTTGCCCTTGACTGGAATTGAACCTGAGATCCCTTCGGCCAAGGGCTGATGCTCCAACTGCTGAGGCAAACTGACCAGGGCTTACAATACATTTTTTTTTTTTATCCTCACTCGAGGACATTTTTTTTCATTTTTTGTTCAGATAGAGTGGGAGGGAGGGAGGGAGGGGGAGAGAGAGAGAGAGAGAGAGAGAGAGAGAGAGAGAGAGATCTTCACGTGAAAGGGACACATTGAGTGGCTGCCACCTGCCCGACCAACCAGGGCCAGAGACAAACTGCAACTGAGGTACGCGCCCTTGGTGGGAACCGAACCCGGGTCTCTCTGGACCGCAGGCCGACACTAACTGCTGAGCCAAACCGGCCAGGGCTTACAATACATTTTAAGTGGAGTTAAAAAATCATGGTTTGTATCAGAATGTGATAAGCTTCTTTAGAAGTAGTAGAGGAATTAAAAAATGGAATTTATTACAGTGTGCTTTTGGGTTGGTTTTCCCAAGATGAAAGGAGTATTAAACTAGATGGTATTCAGTGCCATACTCAATATATTTTCAGTAAGTGTTTTTAACATTCATTAAAATGTACTGAATTGAATAATGCTTCTTTATTTGGTATACTGAAACACTTATTGCCAAGCCATTGCATGGTTTTGTTTAAATCAAATATTACTTTATCTCTGAGGATTTGATATATAAACAATGAACCAAGAAAATTAAGGGCCCTATCTGGAGCAGTGGTCCCCTTGGTCATTGCATTGTTGTCTTAATGCAATTGAGTTCCTCTGGGTAAGATTTATTCTACTGTGATGTGTGTGGTTCCCTTCAGATGAGAATCAGAAGTGAAATAGTTACATTTTGGTATTTTCAGTTTTACTAATTATCTTCACAAGAAAATTAGAGCACCTTTGATTTTGGTCTTACTTGATCTCGTGTATTTTTTATTTAAAAATTAGTTTATTGATTTTTAGTTAGAGAGGAAGGGTAAGGGAGAGAGAGAAACATAGATGTGAGAGTGCAACATCAATTGGCTGTCCTTGACCAGGAATTGAACTGGCAACCTCCTGGTGCCTGGATAACACCCAACCATCTGAGCCACACTGGCCAGGGCTCATGTGTATTTTTTAAAAAATTGATTTTCATCTTATTAGACCCATTATTGACTTTTTATAATAAATATTTTATATTGTCTCCATTGTTAACTGGAAATGAAAATCATAGTTAATATTACTTATCTGTGTAATTTTTAAAAATCATAATATCCTAATTTTAATATATAGGAGAAATAGATGGAAAGCAACTTATAATAAAATGTATATTTCAGTATGTAAATATTTGCGTGGACTACACTAGTTGTCTCAAGAGGTAGTCAAGTGGTTGCCACCTATACATAAAATCATTGTGAATGTGATAGCTGTGAAAGTGTGATTGATATAGTGTCATCTGTATTGGTGATTCACATACCCAAGTGGCATTGAGATTGGTGGCATGGTTTTCCAAAATGGTGAACAACTCAGTAATGTTCTGAACAAAGCAAAGAGATTTATAGCGTGGTTGCATTTTGGAAAATTTGGGATACATTAATAACAGTGGAGAATACATTTTTTACAAATTAAATTCTAGCCTTAGATATATTTAGTGGAATGTTTGAAATTCATCCAGGACATGTGGCAGTTCTTTGCCATAGCGGCTTATTCCCTGCATTGCTGTACCTCTAGTGTCTCTGGCACTTGCCCATTAAATACTGCTAGAGCTTTCACCCCACTCCTCTCTCCATCAGTCCCAGAATGTCTCCATGTACAAAGCGACCTCTAGGGGGCAATGAGAACCACTGATTTAAAAGTATTCAGCTACATTAACCTACTACACAGTTGTATTGCTCATGGAATTTTAAAACCACAGTAATTTAAATATCCTAGCTCCTTAAATATGCTATGTTTTTAGTAATTAAGATAATTGCAGAATTATGGGAGAAGTTGATTTGTTCAAATGCATTATTGTTTTGTTGCAATTCTTTATTTATTTATTTATTTATTTATTTTTTATCCTCACCTGAGGATATTTTTCCATGTTTTGTACAGATAGAGTGGGAGGGAGAGAGAGGAAGGGAGAGAGAGAGAAACATCGACGTGAAAGGGACACATCGAGTGGTTGCCACCCGCACGACCAACCAGGGCCGGGGACAAACTGCAACCGAAGTACGTGCCCTTAGCGGGAACCGAACCCGGGTCTCTCCAGACCGCAGGCCGACGCTCTAACCGCTGAGTCAAACTGGCCAGGGCTTGTTGCAATTCTTATAAGCATATCAGTAAGTTTGCTATTTTAAGTTCTCAATATCCTGCATTTTTGTTATTTTTTCTACGCTTCCTGTTTAGTAAGTCAGTAGCATATAATTTCCTTAATGTCAGCATTTTCTTATTTAATAGTCATACAATATAATTTGTCCCTTAAAAGTCCACATTTTAGCCCTGGCCAGTTTGGCTCAGTGGTTGAGCATCGACCTGTGGACCAGAGAGTCCCGGGTTTGGTTCCCGCTAGGGGCATGTACCAAAAAAAAAAAAAAGTCCACTTTTTAAATTAGGAAGATAATATAGTAACATTGCAGAAGCTTTGTAAACTGGAGGCAAAATTTCCCATAACCACACCATTCTATATTTAATATGTTTCAGTATTTTGTTCTCTTTGTGCATATTTTGACATTAAAAAATTAGTTTTGTATCTTATCTTTTCACTTAACATGGCATTACTTTTTAATGTTATTATATAACTTCAAAACTATTATTTTAAATTACTGCATCTTATTCTACTAGATTTCACAATTTAATCATTTTCCTATCTTTAGATTGTTCACATTATATAAATGATTATATATGTATACATACACATTTTAGTAAATATGTATGTATACATACTATGTATACATATTTAGTAAATATGTATACATACATATTCACATATTTAATCTGTATTAATAAATCTGTTTCAATATATTTTTATTTTTCCTTCAGAGTAGTTCTCAAAACTGGGGTCATTTATTGGCTCAATAGGCTGGGACATTTTTGTAACTTTGGAGATTTTAAATTCATTTATGTTTTGTTTAGATGTCCCTGGTAGATTTGGGAAAGAAGCTTTTAGAAGCGGCACGAGCAGGTCAAGATGATGAAGTTCGTATTTTGATGGCAAATGGAGCTCCTTTTACTACAGACTGGGTAAAGAATGATTATAATGTTATGGTGTTTTTTATCTTCTCATTTTTTACTTTTTTTCCGATAAAAATTTAGTCAGTATTGTGTTTATAAGTGGTGAAATTTTTCTTTTGAAAATTTATTTGCAACTGTAGAATTATAGCTGTTTTTTTTAAGAGAATGATTTATATAATTTTAAAATATTTAATAATCTTATCCAAGTATTCTGCTCACAAAAGGTTTTTTTTTTTTTAAATGTAAGATGAATGTAAAATGTAGCTGCTTGTGATTTAATTTAAAGGTCTTATAAATAGCACAGGTACAGTTTATAATTCAGAAAATAGCAGATAAAGATTGAGGTTATTATAATTGCTTCTAAAAAGGAAAAATGTTTGCATTTAAATTGATACTTGTAAAATTATTATTGCAAACATGACCAAAGAGGAAGACAGGAATGAGAAGTTCTTAGTAATCATAGAAGGCAATTGTGAGGAAGACAAAACCCTTAACTCTATTTAATTCTGGGGTTAAATCAAAAGGGATGCTTTTGGGAGTTCAGAGGGCTAGGAATCTGGATTACCCCTTCCATTGGTAACAGCTAAAAATTCCAGATTTTTTATTTTGTTGGTTTTGGCTTACTTGTCCTATGTTCTTCTTTTTTTTTTTAATCCTCACCCGAGGACATTTTTTCATTTTTTGTTCAGATAGAGTGAGAGGGATAGAGGGGGAGAGAGAGAGAGAAACATCGATGTGAAAGGGACACATCGAGTGGTTGCCACTCGCACGACCCAACCAGGGCCAGGGACAAACTGCAACCGAGGTACATGCCCTTAGTGGGAACCGAACCCGGGACTCTGGTCCGCAGGCCGACACTCTAACCGCTGAGCCAAACCGGCCAGGGCTTTTTTTAATTTTTCATTGAAAACAAAACTAACAAAAAATTTTTTTTCAAATCTTCACCTGAGAATACCTTTCCATTGCTTTCTAGATAGAGTGGGAGGGGGGGAGAAACATCGATGTGAGAGAGAGACACATCAATTGGTCACCTCCCTTATGACCCCCACTGGGGCCAGGGATCAAACCTGCAACCCAGGCACATACCCTTGACTGGGAATCGAACCCGAGACCCTTTGGTCCTTGGGCTGACTCTCTAACTACTGAGCTGAACTGGCCAGGGCAAAAAAATAACATCTATTATGGAGAATTTCAAACATATATCAACTCCTGCATACGCTTTACTCAACTTCAAAGATTATCTCAAATCATGATGAATTTTGTTTCTTCTATAACCCCATCTACTTATTTTGGTTATGTATTATTTTAAAGCAAATTCCACGAATCATTTAATTTTATCCATAAATATTTTAACATCTGTCTTTACAGATAAAGATTTTTTGTTGTTGCTAATCTTCACCTGAGGATATTTTTCCATTGATTTTTTTTAAGATAGAGTGGAAGGGAGAGAAGGAGGGAGGGAGGGAGGGAGAGAGAGAAAAACATTGATGTGAGAGAGACACATTGATTGGTTCCCTCCCGAATCACCTGGATAGAACTTGCAACACGGATATGTGCCCTTGACCTGTATCCAACCCGACGTACTAACAGCTGAGCCAAACTGGCCAGGGTAAAGATAAATATTTTTTGATTAAATATTTCAAAAATTCTTAAGTGCACTCATGAGTTAGAGAGAAAATAAAGATTATCAACCTGAAAAGTTAAGTGAAAGCCAGAAGCCTGAGAAATTTTACCCTAAGAACATTTGCTGAACGAAGTACATTTGCTTGTTGTTTTTCCCACCTCACTGGCATGGATTACTGCAATGATTTGAGACTGCTCATAGAGAGAAGTCTCCTAGGAGAGTCTCTCCCCATAATTCTGGAATCTCAAAAGATGCTCCCCTAGCCCAAGGATAAACCAGAAGTACCCCCATCCTCTTCCTACCTGCTCCTGCCCCTGTTTTTAGGGTACTGCAAGGAAAAGGAATTGACTGAAACCAAGGCACTAAATGGAGAGAGGGAAAAATTTGGAGGCACAAACCATTCATTGCACATGTTTGTGTCCTGAACCAATAAATACTTTTGCTTTCTATAAAATTATAACTGAAAAATGAATTTAAAGTAATCTTTGAACTAGAGATTATCCTAGGTTTCTGGAGGAACAAATGGAGGAAGAACCTACCTTCATTCCAGGCTTTATATCCACCAATGAAATTCCAAGGAAAATGAACAGTCAAACATAACTGAACAGACAAGGATACAGGCATTTTTAACAATACCCCACTGAAACAACTGACAACAGAAGACTTATCATATAAGCAGATTGGGAACAGTTGAAGAGAAAATTAGTAAACTGAAAGATAAGAAAAAAAATCATCGAGAATGCAGCACGGAGAGAAATTGATACAAAATATGAAAGCTGTCAGGAGTCATGAAGGCTAGTGGGAGAAAGTCTAAGATATATCTAAACATAAACTCACAAGGAGAGTAAAAATAGGGATGAATTAATTTTAAGACGTGATGTCTGAGATTTTTCCAGGACTGATGAAAGATGGCAACTTATAGATTGAATTGACCCATCAAATCTCCAACAGAATCAATAAAAAAGTCCATATCTAGACACATCTTAGTGATACTATAGTACATCAAGACAAAGGGATCTTAAGAAGGATTTGTATCCATAATACATAATTTCCATGGCAGTAATAAAAAGACAAGACAAAGAAGACTGGGCAAATGCTTTGTTATGCTACTTTAACAAAGAGAAAGTTCAAATGACCAATAAACATGAAGTGATGTTCAAGTACATTGGTAATTGGGTAAATGCAAAGTAAAATAATGAAATATCATTGTATATCCACCAGATTAGCCAGGGAAAAAAAGATCTAGCAATACCAAGCAGTGGTGAACATGTGTGTGAATTGGTATAAACATTTTGGAGGACAGTTTGGCAGTATTACATGTGCATATCTATGATGTTGAAATAAAGACATCCCCAAGAGAAACTTTTCTTCATATACTTGAGATATTTACATGACTGGTTTTTAGCAGCAACATTATTCATAGTAACAAAAAACTGGAAACACCCCAAATATTTATCATTAGATTAGTTAAATTAATTGCCACTTATTCATTCAGTAGACTGTTACAGAGCAGAGAAAATTAGTGAACTACACTTAAATTCACCAATGTGGGTGAATCTTATAAACATACTGTTAAGCAAAATAAGGTAAGTCATAGAGAAATACATGCAGTCTGATCCTATTTAAACAAAGTTCTAAATAGGCAGAACTGAAGTATATTATTTAGGAATATATAAGAGATTTCAGAAAAAAAAAAAAGCAATGTTTATTACAAAATTCAGAATAGTAATTACCTCTGGGGCTGAGGAAGGGGAGTGGTACATGGGAAGATTTTGAATTGCTGGCAATGTTTTTATTCTGGACTGTGATGGTTGTTTCATAAGTGTTTACCTTATTTTTTTCTTTAAACTACATATAGTCTGAGGAATAGAGTAGACCTAGAAACATGGAGGTAGGGTACAGACTGACAACCCTCAGAAGAGGGGGTTGTGGGGGGAGGGAAGAGATAAACCACTGAACTTATATGCATGTACACATAACCAATGGACATGGACAAAAAAGCCGGGGACGGGGCAGGGGGGATGGGGAGGAGGGTGACAATGGGGTAAAAAAGGAGAAACATCTGTAACAACAACAAAATAATAATAATTATTAATTACAAAATTAAAAACATAAAAAAATAAACTACATATAATATGTATATATGTTTTGTATTAGCAACCAGAAGGTAAGGTCTCAAGAAGAAAAAAATGCAAAATAAACCCTATTATTACACTGAGCAGAATCCATGGTTGCTAAACGGGCCATTGAAATACTTCATTAAAATTAGAATTTATGAGTATAGAAAAGTTCAGTTATAGAAAAATATGATAACATATGGAGAAAGGACCATTAAAGAATCTTCTTTGAGCTGTTAGACCTTCCCTAAAAGAAAATTACAAGGCTTTTTTTTTTTTTTTTTTTTTATCCTCACTCGAGGACATTTTTGCATTCATCTTCAGATAGAGCGGGAGGGAGAAAGTAAGGAAGAGAGAGAGAGACATTAAGTGGTTGTCACCCACACAACCCCAACCGGGGTCGGGGACAAACTGCAACTGAGGTACGTGCCCTTAGTGGGAACGGAACCTGGGACTCCTGGTCTGCAGGCTGATACTCTAACCACTGAACCAAACTGGCCAAGGTTACAAGGCTTTTATTAGTAATAAAATAATCATTCCCAGGGTAAATGATTTCTATTTTTACCATGTATTCAGGCAAGTTGGTAACCTCTTTGTGCCTTCCTTTTACTGCCAAAGGAAGATAGCAATAGTACCTATGTTATGAGGAGATTAAATGATAACACATATAAAGGTCTTAGAATGGTGCTTGCCATGGAAAGTGCTTAACAAAATGCTATTATTACAGTAGTGGTCTTAGCAAATTTCATGTTCTAGTGAACTATCTTGTTTTTTTGGAACATTAGTACCTTGGTAATTAGAGAGTTGTAGGGACTTTCTATGCCTCTAATTGCATGTGATATAATAATTCTAATTTTCACATATTAAAGGTGATGCCTCTAATAAGGATTGTATTTCCCCTGTATATTGTGAATATAGTATTAATGTAGTGGCTAGACCACATGGGATTAATTTTGGGAGAACTGGGCTCTGTTTTGTTTCTGTCTTGACTGACTTGTGGCAAGCATACCTCAGATCAGGTTTTTCCCTTTAAAAATGACTATATGAACTCCTTTAAAAATATCACTGAGGTGCTTTAATTAATTTATTTTTAAGTATTACAAAACAGTTTAATATAAAAATGTGCACTACTACATTTATTTGATGGAATGTCACAGATGAAAAAAAGTTTTGTGTGGTTGATATGAAGAAAAGATTCCAATACTCTGAAAAATTTCTCAAACCCTAATTATCTCTAATTCCTCATGCAATTAATTTTGTTTATACCCTTTTATCTGAAATATTGACTTTTCTTCTTCACTGAGGAAATTCTTGAAGGTCTCTATGAAGAGAATGTCATAAGCATACATTTCTTTTGAGTTTTGAGTTACTGTGTAAACATAATATAATTTTGCTATATAAACAGAAAATATATAGCAAAGGTAGTAATAGAAGTGTATTAAAAATGACTATAAATGTGAATTTTTTTTCTTGTGATATAGCTGGGAACTTCTCCCCTTCACCTGGCAGCACAGTACGGGCATTATTCTACCACAGAAGTACTACTTCGAGCTGGTGTAAGTAGGGATGCCAGAACCAAAGTGGACCGAACGCCACTGCATATGGCAGCTTCCGAGGGCCATGCCAGCATAGTAGAGGTTTTGCTTCAGGTATGTGTTCTCTCCTTTTGTACTTTGCTTTTGAAAGTAAACCCCTAAAGACTTTATAGTTTTGAAAAAGGGAGAAGGAAACTAGTTTTATGGACTGTCTTACTTTTTTGCCCCTTAACGCTATCTCATTTTGTGTGTGTAAGCATATCAAATGAAAATTATCTGAAAGTTTTCCTTTGTGGGGAATACAACACTTCTCCTAGGTATGTTTTCAGTTAAGTCAAACAGTTGTTTTCTTAGACCTTGATCTCTGCTGTGGTGAAGGACTACAGTTTTGTCTTAACAGTTAAAATGCTTATGGAAAAGGAATATTAGGCTTGGATAAATAATAAACAAATACTGCAAATGGGGATTTTTAAAAAATCATTTAAATGCCAAAAAGAAAATTCTGAAACTGAGAATGATAGATTTAGGCATTCTGAATCCTTTTTATTCTTGCCTCTAAATCAGTGATTTTCAACCAATGTGCTACAAGAGTTGTTAAAATATGCAATACCTGACCATTTTTAGTCAGGGGCATGGACCTCTTTTCCCTTAGATTGTAAAATAAAAAAAAAATGACAAAACCAACACAACAATAGCTGTCCAGTGTGAATGCCCTGTCTTGAACCATAAATATAATAGAGTTGCATCTTATTGGTCACATCTCATAATAAGGTTGCACCTGACTGGTTAATTCTTGGTCCCAGGAATCCTTATATATAAGTATAGGCACCTGATTTTTTTAAAAAAGTCACTTTGGAGCAAAACAGATAGGTGATTTACTATTTATTTATTTGTAAACCAATAAAAATTATACCTTTTTTTTTAGATCAGCAAAAAATATATTTTTGGTGTGTTGTAGACTTTTAGTAGTTTATGTATGCCATGAGATGAAAAGGATTGAAAATCTCTGCTCTAGATTAGCCTGTCCAAAGGAAATACAGTGTGTGCCACACATGTAAATTACATGTAATTCTATATTTTCTATTTGTTATCTTAGAAAAAGTAGAAAGTAATTTTAATGTTATGTTTTATTTAGCTCAATATATACAAAATATCATTTATATATGAAATCAATATAAAATTATTAATGAGATATTTTACATCCTTATTTTGGTGTTAAATCTTTGAATTCCAGTGTGTATTTACACATTCAGAACGTCTCTATTTGGACTAGCTGTACTTCAGCTGCTTAGCCACATGTGTCTAGTGGGTATCATTGGATAGTGTACCTCTAGATGGCTCCCCTTAAATTCTTTATATTGCACTGGTTTAGAAAGCACACGGTGTTTTTGTATAAATAAGGAACTAGAATTAAAAATAGGATTTGGGAGTAATGCTTATAGTTTTCCTTCACTTTTTTTTTTTAAATCACCTGAGGATATTTTTCCATCTGTCTTCAGAGAGAGTGGGAGGAAGGGAGGGGGAGAGAGAGAGAGACAGAGAGAGAGAAAGACATCAGTGTGAGAGAGGCACATCAACTGGTTGTCTCCGGCACAATGCCGACCAGGGCCAGGGACAAACCACAACCGAGGTACATGCCCTTGACTAGAATCAAACCGTGAATCTTTGGCCCATTGGCTGATGCCTTAACTGCTAAGCCAAACTAGCCAGGGCTCCTTCAGTTTTTATTCTGTTCTAGCACTTCATGCTCATAGCTGGGTGACTAAAAAATAATAAGTGCTGCACTCCTAAGAAATTAGAAGTAAAGAAAGCATTTAGGAAAGTCATCATTATAGAAATGTGATTAAGTGACAGATGTGTGGTTATTCTGGAGCATATAGGTTATTCAACACAAAAAATTAGTTGAGCATGTAGGCAAATTCTTTAAAGTGTAATGTCTAGTATTTTCATTTCAACAATTTTCAATGTTTCATATTTTAGAAGTCTCTTATTTTGTAATATTTTTGTAGCATGGTGCTGATGTCAATGCAAAGGACATGTTAAAGATGACAGCTCTACATTGGGCCACCGAACACAATCATCAAGATGTGGTGGAGCTTTTAATCAAATATGGTGCTGATGTACACACACAAAGTAAATTTTGTAAAACTGCATTTGATATTTCAATAGACAATGGGAATGAAGATTTAGCAGAACTATTACAGGTAACTTTTGGTTTTTAATTTAAGAAGATAAGCAAATGATCTTTGTTTTGTGGTTGATATGACCTGTAAATTTGGACTTACTTATTTTGGACAGGCCTTTTCCTCTTTTACTTTCTCTTTGGTCATTACTGTTCATTTTCCTGATTGTCTTTATCTCTTTGTGAGCATGGTTATTTATGGCTTTTGGGCAAGTTTTCCTCCCTCCCTCCCTCCCCCCCCTCCCCCCCTCCTTCCCTTCTCTGCCTCGCTCCTTTCTCTCCCTCCCTTCCTTCCCTTCCTTTCCTTCCTTTCTTTCCCCTAGCGGGAACGAACCTGGGTCTCTGGTCCGCAGGCCGATGCTCCAACCGCTGAGCCAAACCGGCCAGGGTGCAAGTTTTTCTAATAACCAGTATTCTCTTTTCTCCAGGTAGACAACATTGATATAAATTATCTTCTTTACTTCTTGCCTCTTCTTGCCTATCTTCTTGTTATTCTTCCCAATAAAACTCTTCTCTAAGGCCATCTGACTCTATTGAACTTCAGCTAGTTACTTAAAAGATGTGTTCAGAAAAATGAATTTTGCTAGGCCTCTTCCAACTCTTTTATTCATAGGAGTGCAGTTTGGGGGATAGGGTTGAAGAGGTAGAACAATTAATTGGGAAGGATATGCTTTATATATGTGGTGTTATAGATTGCTGAATATGGTAGAGGAAATACTTTGATTTAAATAACTTAATTTCTGTAGTCACAAGGCAGCAGCATATCTTTCAGCTGTGTTCTATAAAAGCCTTTCAGATATCCATTTTTTTCTTTCATGGGATTTTGCTGCTTTACCTAATGGGAACTTAGATATAAATTCATATCTTTGGTTTACCACTATATTCTCAGTAGACCATTAAAAAAAAGATACTCGTGCCCTGGCCGGTTTGGTTCAGCGGTTAGAGCGTCGGCCTGCGGTCCTGAGAGACCCGGGTTCGGTTCCCGCTAAGGGCGCGTACCTCGGTTGCAGTTTGTCCCCGGCCCTGGTCGGTTGTGCGGGTGGCAGCCACTCGATGTGTTCCTTTCACATCGATGTTTCTCTCTCTCTCTCTGTTCCTCTCTCTCCCTCCCACTCTACTTGAGCAAAAAAAAAAAAAAGATACTCGTTTGTATTATGTGATTATTCTTAAATTACGGAATATTCCTTTATATTTGTGTTTGTACTACATTGAGAGCCTGTGCTATATGTGGTGATTATAATTCTGAAAATATTGTGTTGATTTGTCCCCCAGATTGCTATGCAGAACCAAATCAACACAAACCCAGAGAGTCCCGACACTGTGACGATACATGCTGCAACACCACAGTTTATCATTGGACCTGGAGGGGTGGTGAACCTAACAGGTCTGGTATCTTCAGAAAATTCATCCAAGGCAACAGGTATTGAGATGCATATAGGATAGCTGTTGGGATTTTATGCCTTAGTAGGTATCCATCCTTTTAAGGAAAGACAGTTGGAGAATGAGGGTAAGAATATTTTAGCTACCTTGGTTTTCTTTGGTATAATTGGAAAAATACTCCAAATTTTTATGAGAAAATAATCTAAAGAAAGGTGATATTGCAAAACAAACTGCAATGTTATCTCTCAAAAACCAATGCTATCCAGGATAAGCTTGTTTTTCACAAAACTAATATTATCCAGGCTTCATTTAAGAGTCGAACAAAGTAAAACCATATCAGATCAGGCTTCGTAAACATTCAAATCTGTTTCTCTTTTCTCGTAGATGAAACGGGTGTGTCTGCTGTTCAGTTTGGAAACTCCTCTACGTCAGTATTAGCTACATTAGCTGCCTTAGCTGAAGCATCTGCTCCCTTGTCCAATTCTTCAGAAACTCCAGGTTAGAAAAACAAATCACATGTGCACATTAAAAATTGGAGATTACGCCCTGGCCAGTTTGGTTCAGAGGTTGGAGCATCAGCTTGCGGACCAGAGAGTCCTAGGTTCAGTTCCCGCTAGGGACACATACCAAAAATAAATAAATAAATAAATCAGACAACCCTTTCTTTTAAAAAAAAAAAATTGGAGATTTAGATAATCACAAAGGCTAGGAAGGTACTATAAAAGGCTGCAGTGGGCAGGGTTAAGATTATGGCCTCCTGAAGAGAGTAGGGCAGGGCAGGAAGTCATCAGCTGCTCAGCTCTAGCTGGTTAGAGTTATGCTTAATGTTGCCAGATCCTGCTTTTTCATGGGGAGCTGAAACTCAGGATTTTAAAAAGTTATTAAATCTTGCCAATTAATTAAAATTTAATTAAAATCGAAAAACTTGTGTGGTTCACAGAAAACATGTCTGTGTAGCCAATTTGGCCTTCATTTTACTAGTCTGTGACTTTTTTTTTCTTTATTGATTTGAGGGGGGGGGGGAGATAGAAACATCGATGAGAGAGAACATTGATTGGCTGCCTCCTGCATGCCCCCCACTGGGGATTGGGCCCACAACCTGGACATGTGCCCTGACCGGGAATTGAACCTGCAACCTCCTGGTGCATGGGTCAATGCTCAACCAGTGAACTACACCAGCCAGGCTAGTCTGTGACTTTTTGTATAAAATATATATGAATTTGTTATCTTTCATACTTTTGTTTTTGGTCAGTTCTATTAGAAGAACCTAAAATCTTAACATCTGACAGAACTAGGAAATGGCATACCAACAGCACTATTAAGGGATGATAAACAGTATTAATAGCTGATTTAGGTAAAGTTTACCTTTATACTTACCCAAAATAGTTCTTACTATAATTATTATGTAAGCACAATATTTTTTAAATCAGGGAATTAAGAAAACATAAAACTTTTCTTCTTACGATAGTTTAAGTGATTATGTTTGTACTAATGCTTACAAAAGTAAAAATAATTTAATGTTGCCCTGGCCCAGGTTTTTAAGTGGTTAGAGCATTTGCCCACAGACCAAAGGGTCTTGGGTTTGATTCCTGGTGAAGGGCATGTACCTGAGTTACAGGTTCGATCCTAGACCAGGGCTGGGGTTTGTGCAGGAGGCAACCAATCAGTGTGTCTCTCTCAGCATCGATGTTGCTCTCTTTCTTTCTCTCTCTCCCCACTCCTTCCCTCCCTTCCACTCTGAAAATCAATGGAACAAATATCCTTGGGTGAGGATTAAAAAAATAACAATAATTTGATGTCATTTATTATTTAAATTACTGTTTTTTCAAAGTCTGATCAATAATAACAGTAGCCCGGCCAGTGTTGCTCAGTGGTTGAGCACCAACCCATGCACCAAGAAGTCACCGGTTCGATTTCCAGTCAGGGCATGTGCCCGGGTTGTGGGCCAAATCCCCAGTGGGAGGGGGGGGGGGGCATGCAGGAGACAGCCAGTTGATGTTCTCTCTCATTGATGTTTCTATCTCTTCCTCTCTCTCTAAAAATCAGTAAAGAAAAATATAGTAATAACAACAGTAGCAGCAGCAACAACAATTCATTGAATGCTTACTGTGTGTGCTGTGGATTGTGGTATAATTCTCACCAAAAATCTTGAAGGTAGTCATTACTGGATTTGATTTCTTTAAGGTGCTATTGATTGAAAGATATATTTTTTTCCACAGGGAGAAAACCTACCTGTCTCTCTCTTTTCTTTATCTTTCTCTCATGCACTCTCTTTTTCTACAAACCAGTGATGATAAACCTTTTTCCACTCTCCAACTTCTTTAGTGTCATAATCAGGGCTTGAATCTAGGCCTTTTATATGTGAGAATTGTCAGGTTTTTCTGAATCACATTTGGCTCTTAGCAGCTATGTGCATCACCATATTGACATGCTGCATAATGAAATAAATTTGCATGTGCTCAGGCAAATTATTTCTCTGCTTTTTGCCTCTCCAGTTTCTTTTAAAATCAATTGTTAGATTCAGCCTTATTTTGGAAATATTTGTACACATGTTTCCAAGGACATCTTAAGATCTGGGAAATAAAGTAGTGCTTCCATTTTACATATGAAGAAACTGAGGTTTGTGAAGGTTAATCTTGTTTGAAGTTACCATGGCAATAAAGTGGTGAAAGGAGGTCTGTGCTCAAGGTCTGATTCCCAAGTTGTGTATCTGCGACCACTGTAATATAATGTCTCCTCTGTGCAGTTTCTTCCAGTGATCAGTGGACTGGTCTCAGAATATTTATAAATTGGTTTGTGATAGAAATAGACATTTGTGTAATTATCATTTTGTCTTATATCTGTCAAAAGTATGACTGATCCTACTTTTATTTCTGAGGTGTGTTTGTTGAAGCAGTATGTTGAAATAAATGTTCTGTTCTTCTTTTGTCCTTTTTAAATGATTGAAAACCAAAATATAAGAACCATCAGTACACTCATTGGTACTGCTCATATTCTTTTCTATTACCAGATAAGTTGTACAGTAAACACATCTTCTGGATACCAGATAGCCAGAATGTAGGAGCAGATGGACTGCATTTGAAATAGAGGCTGGCTGGCTGGCTGACATAGCCCTATATATTAATGGAACATACTTATAATAGTCTAGGATACCACCCACTTCACCTGGGAACTATGGCTTTAAGTAACACCTTCATGATTACATTAAAGCAATCTTTCACATTTAAGACACATCTTAATGTTAGTCCAATGGGAACCTCATAAATGACAGCAGTCTATTATGATGCTTTCATTGTGAAACCAATGATATTGCTCTCTTTTCTTGATGTTACAAGCAAATATAACTGCAGGTTGTTAATGATTGATGATTAGAATATCTCACTGAATTGCATCCTTACTAGTATTTTTTATGTAAATATTTTCAGTTTATTCTTTCCTCATAAACGTTTATTTTTCCAAGTATTTAACTTATTTGATTAAATTTGTAAGTCTCCATGCATAATTTTCATGATTTTTTTTTTTCTTTATTGATTTTAGAGAGAGAGGAAGGGAAAGGGAAAGAGAGATAGAAACATCGATGAGAGAGATCATGGATTGGCTGCCTCCTGCATGACCCCCGTTGGGGATTTGGCCTACAACCTGAGCATGTTCCCTGACAGGGAATCGAACCAGCAACCTCTTGGTGCATGGGTTGACACTCAACCACCGAGCCACAGTGGCCGGGCTAATTTTCATGATACTTTATCTGTTTAAGAGAAGTATAGAAAAATAATTTGATCAATTTCAACATACTCTGAAGAGTTTATTGCTAAGGTTCACTTTTTATTTTTTTAAAATTTATCTTTATTGATAAAAGTATTGCAGATGTCTGTCCCTCTTTTCCCCCATTGACACCCCCAGCCCCCCACCCCTGCCTTCACTGCACTGTTGTCTGTGTCCATTGTTTTTGCATATATGCATATAAGTTCTTTGATTTATCTCTTCCCTTCCCTTTACCCCCCATCCCTCTGAAGTTTGTTAATCTGTTCCCCAATTCCATGTCTTTGGATCTGTTTTGTTCATCAGTTTAATTTGTTCATTAGATTCTACATATAAGTGAGATAATGTGATACTTGTCTTTCTCTGACTGGCTTATTTTGCTTGGCATAACACTTTCCATGTCCCTCCATGTCATCTCAAAGGGTAAGAGATCGCTTTGAAAGATCACTAATGTTCACTTTTAATAAATGACTAGTTTTGTTGGGAATTACATATGTCACTTCCTGAGCCCCTAGGCCTATGCTAATGTACATAGTTATATTAAATAATCATTAGCTCCATCTGGGTCCAGGCCAAGCCAAAAAAAGATGATGAAACAATTTATATTAGCCATAAATTTAATTTGGCATAATGAATTATGGAAAAATAATGATTACTATTTATTGGGTTCTTGCTATATGCTCATTGCTGTGCCAGGTGCTTTACATGCATTATCTCATTTTGTTCTCACAAGAGTCATCTGAATTAAGATGCTATCATTGAACTTTGACCTAGTTTTAATTTTCAGGTGACACAGAAATGAGAATGCTGTTGTTTATTTTTAAGGGAAGATACAGCTGTCTTTTAATACATGAAATTAACTTACTCATTTTGGAAATCAGTAAAAAAAATTTATAGCATTTAAAACTATACACACACATGCAATTTTTAAAAACCTTGTTTAAATCATCCTTCATAATTTATGAATGGAGTAATTCAGGAGAAATGTCAGGCAGCTCAACATTAATATAATAATTGTCATTCTCTCTTATATTATTGAAACAAACTAGTAGAACCTCCGCTTGGAAATATTTGGGAATTAGTTTGTTAATTTATGTACCCAATGATTAGAAGACTGTATTCCTTAAAATATTCTCTAATTCAAGTTTTCTACTAATTTGAATTCCTTTCACTGAATTTGAATTAATATGATAATGGCAGTAGGAGCAGGGTTCTTAAATTTTGTGTGAATCAGAATCATCTTAATACATTTGCTCCAGTTGTACCCCCATAGATTCTGATTGAGTAGGTTTGGGGTGGGACCCCGACATCTGTATTTTTAACATGCACCTAAAGGTGATTCTGAAGGCACACCAAATTTTAAGATTTTGGCCCCTATTTTGTTGTTGTTGTTGTTCAGATAGAGTGGGAGGAAGGGAGGGAGGGAGGGAGGGAAAAAGAGAGAGAGAGGGAGAGAAACATGGATGTGAAAGGGACACATAGAGTGGCCGCCACCCACACGACCAACCAGGGCTGGGGACAAACTGCAACCGAGGCACGTGCCCCTAGCAGGAACCGAACCCGGGTCTCTCTGGACCGCAGGCCAACTCTCTAGCCACTGAGCCAAACCAGCCAAGGCATGGCCCCTACTTTTTAATTTTTATATGTAATTTAAGATTTATTTAATTATTTATTAGGTGCATAGGTGAATCTCTAACAAGGACAAGCAAGATGTGAGAGAGAGGAATGGCTTTCTTAATAGCTTTAATAGTTAAATATATCTAGCTGCTTGCTACTTAATGTTTTTAGGAGTTGAATAATTAAGAAGCAGGCTTCAGGTAATTAGGATATAATTAAAACAAAAATGTGACATTGATGATGAAGACCAGATTTCTCATGTTGAGATAAGAAGAAATTTGTGTTGAGCAGTTTAAAAATAAAACCAAGTGGAATAAGTTTTCAGTCAGTAATATACAGACCCATTTGGGTTTCCTTACCTTAAGTTTTCCCTTATTTATATATACTATTATCTAACACATTGATTTCTGTTCACAAAGATTAGAAAAATATTTTAGATTATGGAATTCCTATGAAGTTATATATCTAAGAGATGCTGATCGGTGAGCGTTGATAAAATTATGGTTTAAAGATAATTATATTACCTCTGTTTATTAAAAGAATGAATTGTTTCAGGGTACTAAGTGTAGTTACCTACTTAAACTAATAGAATGCTTGTCTTTTAATTACCTCTAAGTTATGTAGTTATCTACTATATTTGCTGGAAGCTTCTGTTGTTAAGCTTGATAATCTTAGGAATTATACTTTTTTTTTTTTTTTTTTTTTTTATCCTCACCCGAGGATATTTTTCCATTTTTTGTACAGATAGAGTGGGAGGGAGAGAGAGGAAAGGAGAGAGAGAGAGAGAGAAACATCGACGTGAAGGGACACATCGAGTGGCTGCCACCCGCACGACCAACCAGGGCCGGGGACAAACTGCAACCAAGGTACATGCCCTTAGCGGGAACCGAACCCGGGTCTCTCCAGACCGCAGGCCGACGCTCTAACCGCTGAGCCAAACCGGCCAGGGCAACTTTTTTTTTTTTTTACTAATATTTCCTCTTCTACTATCATATTAGTAGTCTAATTTGCAGTCTAGTTTGGGCTCCTTTTTTCTCTTTAGTATTTTGGTCTTTTGCTTTATTGGATTTGTTACAGTAGATACCTAGCCAGTTAAGAGATTTAGCATCTGAAAATAATGTGCGAGTTCTGTGTTTAGGCACAATTGGACATTTTTTTTGACTGGCAAAGTTTGCAGAGGTTCTGTTAAAGTATACTTTGTTTTTTCCCCCCTTCCTCATGCTCTCTTCACTAGTTTTGGAAAAAGCAAGTATATTCCTGAAACATACATTTTTGAAGTGTTCTCACAGTGTATTTTCCTGTGCATAAAACTAAAGGGATTAAGCTTGTGACTGCTGATTTCTTTATTTTAGGCCAGCCCATTTTTTAAGGTACCTGAGCATGTACTCTATGCTAGATTCTTATGGTTTCTTGGGAGCACTTTGTCTTCTTATGTCTTTGGTTTCCTTATTTTTTCTTAAATTCCTTATCAGAGCACATCTTAAAAAGAAAGCTTTTTAGATGAAAGGCAAGAACTCTATTATTTTAATGACAGTTATTGCAAGTAGTGCAAAGATGAAAGTTCTTGGGTTGTGCCTTGATTGTGTGTGATCTCAGAAATTTCTTACAAATTATTATGCTTTAAAATAGTCACTATGTGTAGTTAGCATTCAACTAGAGCAAACATTTCTTTTTCATATGGATATTTTCTTAAAAAAATCAAAGCAATAGTTCATATGTTTGGAAACCTTAGTAGTTGTTCTATTGAATATATTACTATTTTATGTCCTACGTTTCATTTTATAATTATCTTCCTGAAATTTTCTTAAGTGCTTGGTGATAAAGCCTAATTATAGTGTAAGACAAACAAAAATGAGAGAACTCAAACCATAAAGGTTGTTTACTTATCTTTTGCAGTTTGTATTGTGACCCTTGGTTATCAAATAAAACAAAAAAAATAAAGAGTTGCAGCCAGGCCTGGTTCCATGAGTGCATCTCTGGAAACTAGGGGCCCAGTACTTACCTTGCCTCTCTCTGCAGTAAATCCTGCGGTCATTGATATCCATGATGTTCCACTGGGAGTTGATAGCAACTTAACATGTTTCAGAGCAACTGTGTATCTGCATGGTAGCACTTGAGAAGAGAATGATTTTTTAAATTATACTTTTGGTAAAGAGTTTCCTCAGATAACACATTAAAAAAAACCCCATATCATTTAGAAATAGTTTTTATGTCATTTCTTTTTTCAGAAGTAGTTATATTAAAACAGTTTTTATGTTGACAGTTTTCAAACCTATAGAAAAATTGGAGGATGAACTTTATAGCTTTCACCTGTATTCACCTACTTTAACATCTTGTCACACCTGCATGTTCACACACCACCACCCCCCCTTTTATTTTGCCATATTACCTGAAAGTAAGCTGCAGACCTCATGACACTTTATCTTTTAATACTTCAGCATGTATCTCTCAAGAATAAGGACAGCCTTTTACTCATTCATGTCTTCATTATATTTCCTAAAAGCATCAACATTAATTTAGTAACATTCTTGACATATGGTCCATAATTCAAGTTTCCCCATTTATCCCCAGTATGTCCTTTAAACTCTGTTTTTCATCCAGGATCCAGTCAGAGTTCACAAATTGTATTTGGTTTTTGTGTCTCTTTAGTCTCCCTCATTCTAGGACAATCCTACTGCCTCTTGTTCTTTATGATTCTGAAAGCTTTGTAGAGTCTAAGTTAGTTGTCTACAGGATCACTCACATTCTGGATTCATTTGTTTCTTAATAATTAGATCCAAGCCAAACATTTCCAGGGATATTTGGTAATTTCCTATTGCATCACATCAGGAAGCTCATAATGTCAGGCTGTCTTGATAATGACCACTTGGTGAAAGTGGTGACTGCCAGGTCTTCATAGGCACATTTTCTTCTTCCCAATGGATACTGATCTTCAATGTGATGCCTGAAGAACATTTAAGTATCTTGTTTCCTTAAAACATTTCACCAGTGTTTTTAACATCCACTAGGATGATAGATGATAATTTTGGGGGGTTACAATGATACTTTTTTGTACGCTGTTAATTAGATGTCATTTGCTATCAAGGAGATCTTTTCTCCTTTTTCATTAGGTATTATCATAGATAAGTGGATTTTTAAAACTTCAGTGTGTTATAATTCATTACTGTCATTCCTTTTGATGCTGTTTTACTAAAGTATAACATATATGCAGAAAAATGCATAGATCATAAGCATACAGTGTAATGAATTATCACAAAGTGATTGGTTTGGCATGTGTAATCATTGTTCAGTTCATAAATGGAAAGTATGCACTTGTCTGATTTACATCACTCTGCATTGGTTTTTTTGGTCAGATGTTGTCCACATTTTGCATTTAGTCACTGAAATTGCTGTGTAATATTCCAGTCTGATAATCTACCACAGTTTATGTATTTATTCTACTTTTGATGGATATGTGGTTTGTTTCAAGCTTTTGACTATTTTAAGTAAAGCTACAATGAGTGGTCCTGGGTTTGTCTTTTGGGATCAGTAGTTGGTCCTAGGCTTGCCTATAGGAAAACATTTTGGCACTGTTAACTTGTGGTTTCTTTACCCAGATAAATCCAGGGGTACAGTTTTCAGATGCTAGAATACTCTCCGAGCCTCTCATAAAATATTAAGAACATGGTTTTGGATTTTACTGATGTAAATGTTAATGTATTATACTATATGTTAATGAATTATTATACTATATTATAGATTACAATAACATTACAATATATTATTCATATGATATCAGATCTGCATGCCAGTTATTATCAAGGTAACTCCATTTCACATAACCCAAAAAGGAAATACTATTTATTCTGGCTACTTGAAAAATACAAATTTTCATGTTTTATTGGATATGGTTATGTTTATCAACTCATATGTACATGTAAATGGAATGTAACCACATATAAAATTATCTTTTGGATTGTGGATTTTATTAAGCAGGTTAACCTTTGTCATATTTGTGACCTTAAGAGATCTTATACATTTTGTACCTCATATAACTAAATGAAGAGAAATTGTTTATTTAAACACACACATGCATAGTTGTAACTTACTTATTATAAACTGTGGGACTTGTAGTCATAACGTTTACATAGATATATACAGCACTGCTGGAGACTAAAGTGTAAAACAATGTACAAGCTTTTCTGTGTAATAAAGAAGTAGGGAAAGCAAAGGTATTAGCAGAAAGAAACTTCTGTTTATACTTTTATGTATGTTCACTGATTTTCACATTTATATATTTTTTTCCAGTAGTGGCTACAGAGGAAGTAGTTACTGCAGAATCTGTGGATGGTGCAATTCAGCAAGTAGTTAGTTCAGGGGGTCAGCAAGTCATCACAATAGTTACAGATGGAATTCAGCTTGGAAATTTGCACTCCATTCCAACCAGTGGAATAGGTCAGCCCATCATTGTGACCATGCCAGATGGACAACAAGGTTGGTAGTAGGCATTTACATAAAGTTTGTGTTCATTCTCATTTTGCAGGAAATTGTGATATGTTTTTCAGAGCATTTATTTTGGCCTTAAAATTGTATTTTTGTAATGCCTTGCAACATACTTAATTTTATTTGGTTAGGTTAATATTAAAATTAGTTTGCTTTCTCTGTGTATATGCTAGGTGGAAAAAAGAATTGACCCCAAAGCATTCTGGTTGGAAAATGAGCTTAAAAAAATAATTCAAAATCATCATTGGATGATTAATTTCCTAGGCCCATTTAATGCCATTCAGATGTTATGTGAGCTTTTAAAAATAAAAGATTCACAAAGATTAGAAAACTATTGTAGTAGCCATGTAAGAAATGGCTACTTAAAAAAGTTGGACTTAAGATTTGTAGTAGGAATGTGGTGGCAACTTTTAGCGGCTTTATTGATAATTTTCCCATTTTTCCCCTCTCGGAAACCACAGAGAACAATAAGATGGTTGACACAGAAGCCCTAACTACAATTTCAGTGAATCTCAAAGGCTGAGAAAACCACAAAATTCCATATTTTAAGTGCTGCCAGAAACATCTAAGACCATTACAGCCAGGGCAAGAGAACTCACATGAAAACCCACAATGGTGCATCAAGAAAAGAAAAGGGTTGAACTTAGAAATCAGCAATAAATATACATTCCCAGCAAGGCAGGGCCCAGACTGCATAGAAAGTGCAGCGAGAGGGCTAAGGGAGAATGGGGCATGAACAGAGGAGGAGGCAGAAAGAGAAGGTGCAGAAAGTTCCTAGCTGATAAAGCATCACCCTGCAGCCATTCCCCGACAAAAAGTATGTACACACACATAACCTTTTAGAAAATGACTAGGATTGCAGAGACCATGCCTCTTCGTGGCCAGTGAAGGAATTATAGAAGGGAAGGGCTGGAGGTAGAAGTTCTCCCAAACTATGTTTGGTTTAGTGATAGAGGAGGTATGACACTATAGGAAATAGTTTGTCCCTGTAGCAGGACAGGAGGAGTCCCTTGACCTGCGAGGCCTGAGAGGCCTCTCTCCTGTTCTGCCGAAATCATCTGCTGATAGCTGGTCTAAGGTCTGGATCAGGCCCAGGTGCTTGCACAAAGCTTTAAAGAACTAATTCTAATTATACATAAAAGAAGAAAACTTGCAGAGTATTTGTATCAAGCAGATATAACATTGCTTCCAATTGCTGACATTTATACAGACGAATCTTATTGATGAACAGGAGGAAATAAATTCATAGTTTTAGATGGGAAGACTCACTTTCATGAAGCTCTCAATTCTTAAGTTAATTTGTAAGTGTAATGTGATATTTAAAAAAGAGTATATTAATTTGCTAGGGCTGTCATAACAAAATACAACAGACTGGGTGACTTGAACAACAAAATTTTATCTTCTCACAGCGCTGGAGGTTTGAAATACAAGATAAAGATGTTGACAGTTTTGGTTTCTTCTGAGACCTCTCTCTGACTCACAGATGGTTGCCTTGCTGTGTCCTCACGTGGCTATCCCTCGTCTGTGTGTATTGTCTGTGTCCTGGTCATCTCTTTGTATAAGGACACCAATCATACTGGATTAGGGCTCACCCACATGATTCCATTTTACCTTCTTCACTTCTTTAAAGTACCTATCTCCAAGCATTCTGAAGTACTGGGGGTACTTTGAGGGGACACAATTCAGCCCGTAACAAAGACCAACAGGTCTCTTTGTAGAAGTAGCCAGATTCTAAGTTTATATTGATAGGGGAGGAGAGAAGAATAAAAAGAAAGAAAACTCTAGTAAAGAAGAGCAATAAGAGGAACCTACTGAATATCAGAATAAACCTTTAAAGACTCCAAAACTTTAAAATGTATTAACTGACATGAACATATACATTGTAGACAGTTCAATGAAACAAAAGGTTCTCACATTTTTGAGTTGATTTATAAGTGTAACGTAATATAATATGAATTGAAAGAAATACAACACTTTAATTCTCATTATTTCTAATTTTGAAATTATATTGCACTAAATAAATATTAGTTTTACTTTTTTCATTTGTTTATATTTATAATGATAGTTTTAATGTCTTGACAAAAAACATTTAAGGCTGTGGAACAATTATAATCATCCCCATTGTTTATTAAGATGGTTTTTGCATGGTTTCAGTATGCATTGTCATTTTTATGGTCCTATACCACTATGTAAAGCAAGGACAATCTCTCTCTGTACAATTTACATTTATATAATGAGATACTAAAAATTGAGACAAAGTCCATCAACCCAGTAGAGAAACAAGCAAAGTGTATAAACAGACAACATTCATCATGATGTATCCACACATTATTATTCAGCTAAATAAAAGAAAGCTCTCTATGTACTGGTGAAAGATACCTTAGATATATGAAGTAAAAAAAAATTGCGGAATGAGGTATCTATTGTATGTATGTTTGAATGTATGTTTTATAAGTGTTCTACCTTTTGTGTAAGAAAGAAAAATGAGAATGTATGTTCATGTTTGTTTTTACATAAATTAACATAAGAACAGTACACAAGAAACCAATAAAAGTGATTATTTGTGTTAGGAGTGGAGTGAGACCTCAAAATATGCTTGTTAAATATTGTTTTGATTTTGAGCCATGTGAATGAATATATTATATATAACATTAAAAAAAAAGTAGGTACTCAAACAATGAATAGTTTGCAGTTAAAAAGCAAGAAGGTGAAGACGAAGATGGACATCTTCAAAAAACATCAGTGTTTTGAAATGATTGTTTTGGAATATAATTTATTTTAGATGAGTTGCATCAACAATGTTGACTAGTTTTATTTCTACTAAACCTTTCTGAAAATGAAGTAATGTATACATTTTTTCATTTTAGTATTAACAGTACCAGCAACCGATATTGCTGAAGAAACTGTTATAAGTGAAGAACCACCGGCTAAGAGACAATGTATCGAAATAATTGAAAACCGGGTGGAATCTGCAGAAATAGAAGTAAGGAGTCTTTTACCCGGTGTGTTTTGCTGCAGTCATCCAAAATAAATTCAATTTACTTTTCTTTATTTTATTTTTGTCTTTTATATTTATTACTGACCATGTTATTTTGATACAGAAAGTACATAGTATTATTTTGTTTAATTTTTGCTTTATACATATAGCAAGCCCTCAATAAATAAATATTGAATGACTGAATGAATGAGTGAAGAATTTGTTTGTAACAAAGTCTGCCATCCTGGTAACATTGGAATGTCTTTGTTTCTTGCACTCCATCCTTTATTTTCCATTAACTTTACATACATCATTCTCACAAGTCACTAAAAGAAATATCACTGTATATTGACTAAAAAATTTTTTTTCTTTTAAAAGTGAAATGCAAATGCCTATTTGGACTGGAGGATCCTTTTGAAGAAGGTTGATATTTGTCAACTGGGTTGTTTGTTATAAAGCTGTAGATAATTGCTTATTTTACGTAATAAGTCCTTTAAAGAAATTAAGTGTAGACTAGCTCTCGACAGGATTCAACTTTTTTACCCTCTCCCAAATTAGATTGTAAATGTAAACCAGTGTGTAAGTGTAACCAGACCTTAATTACCTCACATGACTGTAAATAAAATTATGTCCCTCAAATTGGATATTAGCTTATATCAAATGAAAATAAAATTATTCAAAAAGTTATTTTGGAGTTTTCATGAGAATTGAAAAAGTTACATACCCATTATACACAAATTCATAATATCTGATATATGTGAATAGTAATGGTCATTATTTAAGGTTCTTGTTATAGGAAAGAGGATTTGAAAAGTCAGTAGAAGGCAACATAATTCTGACTGATGACAATTAGAAAATACCCTTGCCCAAATTCATTTAAATGTAAGACTGGTATGTCATTGACCACAATCACAAAGAATTTTTGAGTTGAAAATATTATCTGGTTCAACTAGTAACCAGGATATTTGGTAAAATTATCACTTTAATTACTGAGGGTGAGTTGTTTTATTTCTTCAGAATTTAAAGTGATATTCAACACATTAAAGTTCTTCAAACTAACAATTTATTCCATTGAACAGTATCATATACTTAGTAGCAATCTTTTAAATATCTTCCAATATGTCAGATGATCTTGTTTTCTGGCATATAAGGTGAAAATATTTTGCCATGTACTTTGCTTTAACTATTTAATAAGACATTATTTTAAAATTACTTGAATTTTTAAAAATCGTCACCTGGGGATATGTTTATTGATTTTAGAGAGAGAGATAGAGACAGAAACATTGTTGTGAGAGAGAAACATCAATTGGTTGCCTACTGCACACTCCCCGACTGGGGATAGAACCTGAAACCTAGGTCTGTGCCCTGACCAGGAACTGAACCCACAGCCTTTTGATATACAGGATGATACTCTAACCAGTTGAGCCATTGGCCAGGGCATTACTTGAATTTTTACTAAACATAAACTTACTAAGTTCAGTCAGTTGTGTTTTTAAAATATTGAATGTGCAGCCTGCAGCTTTATTTATATAATGTGAGAGATGCTGTTTTCCTCAAAGTTCCACCTGATTCCTCTCTTACAGTCTTTCAGAGACCAGGAGGGAATAATGCAAATTACAGGGAAGTATGAATTGAGGTATATAAATTAACAACAACCACAGAGATAGAACTTCAGGGGATAGAGTTTTAACTTGGTATAAAGAAGAGTGTTGGCTTGTTTTGTTTTTAGTAATTAGAGCTTTCTGGTGATGGAAATCTTATTCTCCATCAACAGAAATGTTCAAGCCGAGGTTGGATGATGTCTTAGAGCTATTACAGAGACCTTGAAGTGAGTTTAGATGGTAGAGGTGGGCTGGGAGAGTGAATGAGGAGACCTCTAGTGTTTTCATCAAACCACGTAATTATTTCCTTATAACACATGAAGTGGTCCTTTTGCAGTTATTTTCTTAGATAACCAATAGAGTTGTCTTGGGTCAGATTTTTATACTTCTCTCTGACAGTTTGGCCATTCACCCAAAAAGTCTAAGGCAGTGGTTCTCAACTGGGGCAGTTTTGACCCCAGGAGATATTTGGCAATGTCTGGAGACATTTTCGGTTATCGCGACTAGGAGCATGCCACTGATATTTGCCATGGGATGCCGCTAAACACCCTACAACGATACACAGGACAGGAAAACTGCTGCAAAGGAATTAAAAACGTAACTCATCACACAGAATCTAACATGTTTGGGTTTCTCCGTGTGTCCACAACTACCAGAGTGGCTATCTATAAAGAAGGTGTTAATAATATAGGGTGCCCCCCCCCAAAAATGTATATACAAAAAAGTGTAATTATAATGCCAGTGTTTATTCAAATACATTTTTGGGGGATACCCTGTATTGATGCCCTAGCTGGTATGGTTCAGTGGTTAGAGCGTTGGCCCATGCACCAAAGGGTCTTGGATTTGATTCCTAGTCTAGGGAATGTACCTAGATTGCAGGTTTGATCCCCGGCCTGGTAGGGGCGCATGTGGGAGGCAACCAATCAATGTGTGTCTCATGTCGATGTTTTTCTCTCCCTCCTTCTCCCTCCCTTCCTCCTTTCCTCGCTATAAAAACCAATGGAAAAAATATCATGAGGTGAAGATTAAAAAAAAAAAAATATATATATATATATTTACAGTTTCCCAGTTAACATTGGAGATGTTTATCAATAATCTCTAGAAAAATTGTTTAAATTGTAGAAAATTTATTGTAAATATGGCTTTTACATCTGCATTATAGCAATATAGGAAACCAAATAGGTTTATTTTTTCATAGGGAAAGTATGAATAAAATCAAATTACAATAATTATACTTTATCAACCCTTGATATTACTGTACAATACATTTTTGGAAGAAATATGCTGAGTTTGGATTTCTTCCATAAATAAACATTGGCCTATTCTGAATTGAAGTTAAAACTGTTCTTTGTACATATGGGAGGAAGGAGATGACAAATTTTTCTATTATTGTGTAAATTCAAGAAATACATTTACTTTTTCTTTGCCATGGAGATTATAGATGAATATGTTTATTAGCAAGTTTTGGTTACTTTATTTAATTTTATTTCATTGTATTGATTTTGAGACAGAGAGGGAGAGAGAGAGACAGACAGGCAGGCAGACAGACATCAGTGAGAGAGACATAGTGATTGATTGCCTCCCGTACTACCCCAACCGGGACCGCGGGTGAACCACAACCAAGTTACATGCCCTTGGCCAGAATCAAACCCGGGACTCTTTGATCCAAGGGCAGATGCTCTAACCACTGAACCAAACCAGCCAGGGCAAGTTTTGTTCATTTTTAATGAACAACTTCTATCTTATCCAGTGATGGATTGGGATCCTTAGAGTTCGTTAAAATATTGATTTCTATAAACTTTATACAATGTTTCATTTGATACAAATTTTTTCAGTCTTTTTTCCTTTGTTTAATAAATAACCTTTTGATCTACCAAAGTTTAAAATTTGTTATAGTCATATCCCTTTTTTGATAATTTTTTTCTCTAGTGCTGGAGTAGGCAAAGTTTTTCTGTAAAGGGCCAGATAGCGACTAATTTTGGCTTTGGGACCTATATAGTTTGTGTTTTGCTGCTTAGTTCTATCATTGTGGCAGGTTAGCAACCATAGACAATTTGGAAGTGAGTAGGTATGGCTGTATTTCAGTAAAACTTTATGAAACCAGGTTCATAGTTGGCCGATGGCAGTTAGAAAATTGATGCTTACACAGAAGCAAATGGACAGCTCACACACTTGACCAGTTTCTTTCCTTGTTAAAAGCAAAACAAAACATTTAACAGTTAAGAATATGGATCTGGAATCAGATTTAGATTTGAATTATATTTTATAATTTTCTGATTGTGTGATATTGGTTGAGTTAATTTCACCTTTCAAGACTTGGCTTCCCCATCAGTAAATAGCACCCACATTATCAGGTTGTTATAAGGCTTGAAGGAGAGTACGTGTGAATGACTAGTACAATGTTAGGCATATAGTAAGTGCTCCGTAAATGATAATTACTACTGAAAGCAGAATTCAAGAATCTTGTTTGAAAATGAAAAACCAAATTCAAGTTTTTCCTTGCTCTATTCCATTATCCAGTGTAGTAGTAATATATTGCTTGGGTTTGCAGTTATGTAAGATAAATATCTTTTATTGCTACCAAAACTTATCAGAATTTATTTTTCTTGGAATTCTTCAATGTTAGACTGTTAAAGGAAAAACACTTCAGTATTACATATTAGCTAGCTAAAGTATGTTTATTTTAAAATGACAAAATTCTTTTTATTGTGGTTTTATTGCAAAAGGTCAAAGCCATTGGATTGGCATTTCTATTTAAATATAAATCTCAAATATCTGTCCGTTGCACTATATATATGTGAAACAACCAAATTACTGTTTGCATTAAGGAAGTGTCTTACATGAAACATATGTTCAGTAAATATTTGACAAATGAATTTGGAAACAGGATCTTTAGAGTAAAATAGGAGCTAATATTTTCCACTATTTAGAGACGTTTATTTATTTTGAAAAGTGAGATCTCAAAAAGGTTCTTTCCTATATTTCTGAGAGGTAAAAGATGAGAACATAAACTTTAATAATGTCAACTATGCTTTCAGTGTATATTAAGATATATTCTAATTGAAATAAAAATACAATAAGGAGAATAGGATTAGAGTGTATTCACTGTTAACTGTTTACTTCACTCAATTTGCTCTTTATCTTTTGAAATTGTGAACCCCTTGCTGTTTCTAAATATTAACAAATAGCCAATACTAGAAGAGACTTTAGTATATCTGTTCCAATATTTCCTACCAAATCAGGGCAAGTTTTTTTTTTCTTTATCCTCACCCAAGGACATTTTTACACTTATCTTCAGATAGAGTAGGAGGGAGAGAGGGAGGAAGAGAGAGAAACATCGATGTGAGGGAGACACATTGACTGGATTGCCATCCACATAACCCCAACTAGGGCCGGGGACAAGCTGCAACCGAGGTACGTACCCTTAGCGGGACTCTGGTCTGCAGGCCGACACTAACCGCTGAGCCAAACCAGCCAGGGCCAGGGCAAGTTTTTATCCATATCCAAAACTTTGCCTACCAAAAGATCTTATATGTTAACACGTGAATTTTTAAAACATTTATGAGTGGCTGTAAGTGCTCCTGCTGAGGGTTGCTGGTGGGAAGCAGCACCCAGCTCTCACCCCTCCCACTAGTATGCTCAAAGTCTCCCAGAGTCACCGCCAGGGGACTGGCACTGATTGCTTACATGAGGCTCATCTTTTGGGTGTTCTTTCTGACTTGTTCCCACTCTGTCATCTTGCCTGGAGTATGAGGGTAAGAAGTGGGTAAGAAAGGGGTAGCGGGGCAGGGCTTGGGCATTTCTTCAATTGGAGATGAAGGGCACACCTTTCTTCTTGTCCATTTTGTGTAACTGGAAGATTTGAAGACTGCTTATGTAACCAGTCACTCTCATATTTGATGAATCCATGGGAAAAATAAATGTTAGATGTAGCTTTATTCCCAGTATGGGGAGGGGAGTGGGATTACAGGAAGGCAGGACTATTCAGTATGCTCCCCCTGGTGAACCATGTGAATAGGAAGAAGGAATGTTGGTATTCCCCTGGAAGAGTCAAGGGGGCAGGGGATGAGACTCATACTGTCCTTTTCCCCAGCACGATGCTGACCCCTTGTTTTCAGTTTCCTCTGGTCAAGTGTCTTACCTGGTGTGAGTGTGGCCTTTCTTATGATGAACAGTCTTACCCTCAGCCCCCACCACACTAATAGGTCCGGGCCTCTGTGATTTGTTTGAGCTCGGGCGTGTGCAGGGTGAGCTTTTGTCCATGTGCTTACTAGAGGTATGGGAAAAGAACCTTTGAAATGTTTTTCCTTAGGCAACTGAACAGAGGCAGAATGAGGAGGAGGACCAGATTTGTTTCAGCTCTCAATTTATTGAGGAACTTAATACATCTATTTTATACCTGAATAAAATAGTCACAATAGAGATTACTATTGTATTGATGTGTAAACTGGTATAACTTAGGAAACGCTAATTTAGACCAGCACTCATCATTTTAGAGATGGGGAATCTCGCTTGCTATCATAGAGAAAGATAGTTTTAAAAACAGTTATATTAGAATTTCATAGACCCGACTCCTTACTGTGTTACCATGGGAAAGCTACATCATCTCTGAGCATCATTTTCCTCATCTGTAAAATGGGCATGATATCTATCTTAGAAGCTTGTCTTTGGGAATCATCTTGTTTTGTCATAGAATCGGGTGTTCAATAAACACTGTTTATAAGTATTACTTTTAGACAAAAATGCAGATAAAGATGTGAAGAGGATGATTGTGTATTTCCTTCTTAAAGTTCTTCATTGGTTACTGTAGTACATATAAAAGTACAGGTCCTATTTGGGTTCATTATGTTAGTCTTATTTCTAATTAGGGCATAATTTCCTTGAGGTCAAAACCGTAATCTGTATCTCACAGTGTGGAGCACAAAATTCGGGGCTTTAATTATTAATGAATTGGTGGAAAAGGCAAGATGTCTAGGAAATATCTTCAATAAGTGACTACTTTCAGCTACTACGGATTTTTTTGTTAGAGGATGCGTGCATGTAGATGCTAGTTAACAATGTATTTGTGCAAAAATTGAAAAACAAACTTTCTTTTTTAATTAGGAGAGAGAAGCTCTTCAGAAACAGCTGGATGAAGCAAACCGAGAAGCACAAAAATACCGGCAGCAGCTTCTAAAGAAAGAACAGGAAGCAGAAGCATACCGACAGAAATTAGAAGCTATGACTCGTCTTCAGACTAATAAAGAGGCTGTTTAATTGAAATGGACATGTTGTTTGAATGTACGTTTGGTGAAGAAAGAATACAATCTTGAACTGTACACATTAAGGTGCAGTCATAGGAAGACAGAATGATAGAAGAGACTACAGATTGATAATTGGACTTAAGCCATGCGGTCTGAATTCTTGTAACATAAAACTTTCGAAGTTGTCAAATGTATTTAAAATTGAATTTTGTAAATAGTTTTTGTTGTTTTTTTTTTACAGTTCTAAATGAGTTGATAAAGATTGTTGAAGAGATCCAAAAACACAATAAGCCACTGTTTTTGTGAATTCTTTTTGATTTTAGTATGAACCTAATTTCTCAGAAAACAGACAGTTTTAAGGGTGATCGTTGTTTAGACCAAATGTTGTGTAATAATTATGTGGTGGACTGATGCTGGAATTACTCTTGTAGGTATAAACTTCTATATGAAGAGAAGATTTCTCCTGGGAAATCTTTGTACAGCTTTAAGTTGTCTCAGATTCTCTGAAAACATTTTTTAGAAAACAAATTTTTATATTTGTTCAACTTCAGCTATATACCCAAGTAGATTTACATGTATATGAAGCAAATATTTTTTAAACTTTGTGTTTGTACATATCCTGCATGTTTTATAATTTCAAAATGCATCACTTGCATAGGTGTTTTTCCCACAAAGATGATGAAAGTTACTAGGGAAAATGTAACACCTTTTATTCTGTAGGTCATCTTAGCTAAGTAAACTAGCAGCTGGTTTTATTGACATGATAGTGTTCTTGGAAGGAGCAGCTTACAAGATAACTTGAATTTGCAAACTACAAAATCTATGCTTTTTTTTGAAAATTTCATAGTGGGGACGTGAAACTGTATTCTGTGCCTTCCATCATGATTTCCACATGAAAGCACTTTAAGACAGTACATTTTAAGATAATGTTTTTTGAAAACTCAGAGCATATGGGTTTCTGAAATATTTCATGGACTCATTCCCCGCCCTCCCCCAGGAAATTATTCTTATGGAAAAAAATGCTTTTGTATGTAGAACAAGAACTTTTTGTACTACAGTGATGCTATAGATATGTCTACCATAACTTCTGCCTTCCCCCGTGAAAGCTGTGTGTCTGTGCTGTCACTTGCTCTCATCACAATGTTGTTGAATTCCACAATGTATGAACATTACACTCTGACATGCTCTTCATTCTTCTTTGTAAAATGTAACTTCAGACCTTTTTTTTTTTTTTTTTGCTTTATTTCTTGCATTAATATTTTATTGCTTTATGAAAATGTTTAACCCTAAGGCCCTCCTAGATTATCTATACTGTATAAAGAAGCAGTTACCCTTAAAACTACTCTGGCCTACTTTTCTATTTTACAATTAAATATCTTTTCCACATATATTCAGTGTAGACTTGTATTTTGACCACATTTTATTCACACATTAAAATAATGCTTGTTCTGTGTATTAAAGCCATATTCCACCATATGAAAAAAAAAATTCTTCACACTGTGTCTTAAAAGTCCTTGGGCCCTGGCCAGTTTAGCTCAGCAGTTAGAGCATCGGCCCACAGACTGAAAGGTGGTGGGTTCGATTCTTGGACAAAGGCATGTGCCTGGGTTGCAGGTTCAATCCTCGGGCCCGGTCGGGGTGGCGTGGGAGGCAACCAATCGATGTGTCTCATTGATGTTTTTCTCTTTCCCCCTCCCTTCCACTCTGAAAGAATCAGTGGAAGAATGTCTTCTTGTGAGGATTAACAACAATAAAAAAGTCCTTGAGAATTTGTTAATTCTCTCACTGTAGCTATCAGACCAGTGGTTAAAGTAGTAAAAATATCTGTGAACTATCAGCCTGATAGTTGCTATTTGGAAACTCTTAGAAAGGTTTTAGGGCAAATTTAAGAACTGTCAGGAAGAGCCCTGGCCGGTTTGGCTCAGCGGTTAGAGCATCAGCCTGCGGTCCTGAGAGACCCGGGTTCGGTTCCCGCTAAGGGCATGTACCTCGGTTGCAGTTTGTCCCCGGCCCTGGTTGGGTCATGTGGGTGGCAACCACTCGATGTGTCCCTTTCACATCGATGTTTCTCTCTCTCTCTCTCCCTCCCACTCTACCTGAACAAAAAATGTCCTCGGGTGAGGATAAAAAAAAAAAAAAAAAAATCTGTCAGGAAGAGAAAAAAACTCTTTCAGCCCAGCCGGAGTGGCTCATTTGGTTGAGCGTTGACACCAAAAGGTTGCAGTTTCAATTCTTGGTCAGGACACATGCCGGGGTTTCAGGCTATGGAATTTTTGTCAATGTTTCTCTCTCCCTGCCCATCCCTTCCTCTTTATAAGCATCTCCTCAGAAGAGAATTAAAAAACAATTAAAAAACGTTTTCAGGTTTACATTAAATTTGACATGAATTTTAAATAATCGAAATCTGTGCATTTTGCAAATGCCAGGCCATATTTTCAGTAGCATGAAGCTACTTTTTCTATGTCTGCTTTTCATTACTTTATTGCATTTATGGAATTATGTTAGGCAGGATGCCCTGACAGGCAGTGTTGAAGCAGAGAAGGGCCAATGTGTTCAACCCAGAGGGCAACCACTGTACAGTCTTGCCTCCAGACTACCTTGGTCCTGAGGAAACTTGAGACTGTTAGAAACAAACTTCTTAAAGCTAATTTAATGCCTTTGATTTCCAGTTTCCTGTTCTGCTAGAGACTTACCTGGTGCAAGAGAGCATTTTGATCTATAATAGCATGGCATAGATGGGAGAAAATAACTGGTATTTAAAAGGAGTAAGTCTATAGTAGTATCAGATGGATAGTCAGATGTCTTTGGGGGACGTTCACTTTTTTTTTTTTTTAATCCTCACCCAAGGACACTTTTTTGGCATAGAGCAGGAGGGAAAGAGGGAGGAAGAGAGAGAGAGAAACATTGATGTGAGAGAGACCCATCGAGTGGTTGCCACCCACATGACCCCAACCCGGGCCAGGGACAAACTGCAACCGAGTTATGTGCCCTTAGCAGGACCGAACCCGGGACTCTCTGGTCTGCGGGGTGATGCTTTAACCGCTGAGCCAAACCAGCCAGGGCTCACTTTTTTGATATCTGATTGTTATGTTGGACTCGTGTAAATCCTCAGTCATCTACACCGGATTCACTGTCCTATGAAATCATTTAGACAGAAATGATAACTAATGGGTTGCCTTTTTCTTTTTCTTTCCCTTTTTAGCTCCTGTTTTCAACGGGGCCAGTAAAGCTTTGCATTCTAATCATTCTCAGTGGTGTTCTGAGCAGAGGATTAAAAGAGTTTACAGAATAAAGCAATATAAAAGTTTTCAGAAATTCACACTTAATGTGTTTCCATTATGTAATGATGGATTTGCCACATTAATCATTAATTGTTTCCTTTTATGTGTCAACAAACCACCTTCTAGAGCAGCCTTTCTCGATGAGGGTCCTGTGAGAGAATCAAGCCCCAATGCCCCAAGTTAGGGCCTAATGAATTAATTTTTTGTAATGAATTAGTTTCTTTTCTAAACATCTGGAATAGTACTGGTTATATACCATCTTAGACACTGAGCTCATTAGATGTATTGACTGCTTAATTTCTTGATTCAGATGAACACTTCCCTATGTTTAGTAGCTGGGACTCTAGGATTACAAATTTTAAGTCGAGTCTGTGGTGCTTTGGGAAAGCCTCATCTGATGAGAATGGTGTCGCAGGGACTGTGCTTCTCAACTAATTTTCATTTATTATTATTTATATCTTACTTCCCAAAAGGGCTTGTTATGTCAGTTTTTCGTTAGCTTTTAGGCGTTATTTTCTTGTGTCAAGCTCTCATGGTATGAATGGCAAAGTAGTTACTCTGTTTTATTCTGCCACAGGATTGCTCTATTTGTTCATGGCAGTAGAGAGTTGAGGAGTTTTTTCTGTGACATTTAAAAGAGCAAAGTTGGCCTGGCTAGTTTGGCTTAGCGGTTAGTGTCAGCCTGCGGACCAGAGAGTCCCAGGTTCAGTTTCAGCTAAGGGCATGTACCTTGGTTGCAGTTTGTCCCTGGCCGGGGATGGGGTTGTGTAGGTGGCAACCACTCGATGCATCTCTCTCACATCGATGTTTCTCTCTCTCTCTTCCTCTCTCCCTCTCGCTCTATCTCAAGATAAATGCAAAAATGTCTTCGGGTGAGGATTAAAAAATAAAATATAATAAAATAAAAAGAGCAAAGTTAAAGAGATAAGAGAATAAATGTGAAATCCCGTATAATTTGGACTATGCTTGTTTATAACAAAAATATCTGTGTACAAATATATTTATCCAAAATATATTGCTAATGAGAATGTATGCCAGCACGCGTTTTTTTTTTTTTTTTTAATCCTCACCCGAGGACATTTTTCCATCTTTTGTACAGATAGAGTGGGAGGGAGAGAGAGGAAGAGAGAGAGAGAGAGAAACATCGACGTGAAAGGGACACATCGAGTGGCTGCCACCCGCATGACCAACCAGAGCCGGGGAAAAACTGAACCGAAGTACGTGCCCTTAGCGGGAACCGAACCCGGGTCTCTCCGGACCACAGGCCGACGCTCTAACCGCTGAGCCAAACTGGCCAGGGCAGCACGCGTTTCTTTAATATGATCCTTTCTTTTTGTTTGTTTGTTTTATTTTGTTAAACCTCATCCTCACCCAAGGATATTTCTTTCATTGAGAGGGAGGGAGAAGGGCAGAAGGAGAGAGAAAAAGAGAGAGAGAGAGAGAGAGAGAGAGAGAGAGAGAGAGAGAGGTCAATGTGAGAGAGACATCAACTGATTGCCTCCCACAGGCCGGCAAACAAAACAGTAACCCAGGTGTGCCCTTGACTGGGAACCAAACCCACAACCCTTTGGAGCGTGGGCTGACATGCTAACTAACAACTGAGCCACATGGACCAGGGCCAATATTATCATTTCTGATAGTATTTATTGAAAATTAGAAGAAACCTTTGCCCATAACAGGAATTGATGAGCTGATAGACATATTCATGAATGCTTTATGTGATGTGACTGATTTTTTCTGCATTACTTTATACCAAGTTTCTTCCAGATAAAAATCTGGTAAGTTCCTCTGTGCTTTAATACCTGGAAGATCTCGAGAACCAACTCAAGATATAGCAAGAAGAAAAACCTTTTCAGATAAAAACACAGTATGATTGCTGGAACCTTTATGTCCATATGGATAGGTTCCCAAGGCATTGGCTCTCAGGCTCACAGAGCAAATAGAAAAAAATCTCTTCTATTCACCTAGCTTCTGTTGAACAAACAACTTCTTCCATCATGTCAGGTCAACTTAGGAATGAACTAACTAATATATTTGTTGGTTCATTAAGTAATATTTACTGTACTTGCATTTCATTATAGATAACTAGTCTGTTGTAGTTGTGAATGATGTTTGTTATTTGCTTTCTCTATGTTATGAGAACATCTCAATGGACATGGGTTCTGTTTGACGTAAGCTCTCCAAATTCATTCTCAGATTACTCTGTGTAACCTCTGATGGAAAACAGAGTATCATCACTGGAAATATACTTCTGGTTCCAAATCAAAATTTTGGTATCAATATTTTTGTGACTTGCTAATAGTATTTTTCAAATGTATAGATATACAGATGGTCTTCCAATTTTTGATTATTTGATAGCCTGAACTCCTTTAAAAATATTTCACTCTCATTAAAATAGTGAATATAATTTGGATGCAGTTCCTGGGGCTCTTCATGGTTAGATATTCTTCCATTTTTCTTCAGACAGAGTGAGAGTGAGGAGAGAGAGAGAGAGAGAGAGAGAGATAGATAGAGAGAGGTTATATGAGAGAGATACATTGATTAGTTGCCTCCAGCAAGACCCCAACCTGGGCCGGGGACCGAATGGGCACTGAGGTATGTGCCCTTGACCAGAATCAAACCTGCGACTCTTGGGTCCATGGGCTGACGCTCTAACCACTGAGCACACTGGCCAGGGCAATACTACCTCCTTTTTACAATGTACACTTTTCCAGATAATTAATGGGGGGAAAGTTTTAATCTTTGCACTTACTGTTTTTAAAATATATGCTACCTAATGTAGTGAAAGATTCAAATTTGATAAACAATATTTCTAGGCACCATTGGTTGTGTTTGAGTGTGAGGGGGATAACATGCTGAAAGTGAGAACAATCTTCTAGTCATTATGTATAAAATGGGGGGGAGGGTTAGGAGGAACAACTTGCTGTTGTATTTTAATGAAAATGTGCATGGTGGCTGTGGAATTATACTTCTAATTCCCTCTGTAACTTTTTAAAATTCTAGTTTTTTCCAAGTTCAATTCTCTACCATGAAGCTAAAGAGGAGTAAAAATGCAAATCTGATCTTGTCACTCTCTTGCTTAACACCATAAACATTTCAATGATTTC